GGGTCATGACCCCCCCTGGGCTGGGTCCATCTGTACCCACTTCACAATCTGTACCCACTGTGACTTGACCACGACTATATGACACCCCCTGGCGCCAAAGCTGGATCCGCCCTTGTGTAGATGTTATTGGCAGACATATCGGTCTACCCTCTGACTTCGTCTTTTATTGCGCTCAATACCCCTACCAATGGTCACATTCTCACTATTCACTCGCACCCCCCGCGCGTTCCCGACACGCAATACTCACGGTATCACGGCTTTTTATCACGGGCTTTTCTGTAAAATTTTCACGCTCGGATCCGCGCCTTTCTCATAATATAGATTCGCGCAGAACCGCGTGTGAAAATTTTACAGAATAGCCCCCGCTGATACCGTGAGTATTGCGTGTCGGGAACTAATCGCTAATCGCGGAACGACACTTTTTTTTTGCACATACGAACCACTGGATTCCAGACACTTGGCAATTTAAACACATCCTTACAATTGAAATTTTTGTGTTTCGTTATTTCAATCGCTTCCCTGACCAATCTTGGTATGTAGTGGCGTTCCGTCGAGATAATTAGTGGATTATTGAGCTCAATTCAGTGATTAGGACCCGAATCAATTAAATGTTACATTTTTAACAGTTAATTGATATATCTGAAATTCATGTAATATGTCTGCCAATAACATCTTCACGCAATTACTTCAGTTACTCCGTGATCATGGCGCTTGCAACAGTGCCGAAATATCGGAGACTCATAAAAACACGTTACATTGTAACAATCCCGTTAATAGCTATAATGTCAGTGACCATGAAAGTTTAAAATAGTACTATAGAACTCCCTAATCTCCACTAGGGGTGCCGTCAAAGGAGACAAACGGTCCGACGCGACGTCGTATGTACGCCAGATTTAGTCCCGGGTTTGAATCCGCTGGGGCAAATGTTTGTATGATAAATACGGGCATTTGTACTGTACCTAAGTCACAGATGTTTATATGTATGTCGTCGCCGTAAGTCACTGTCACTGTTGGTAAATTAAAAGGTAGAATCTTGCGGAATATCTATAGAGATATCTTGAATCGAATGTTTCATTTATTGATTGATCACAATTGACATGGAAATGAAGAAAAAAAATCTATCATAGATATAGAAGAGACGTTTATCGTTAATTGTGTCCCACATCATACCCAAGATAGATATTGTAGTCGCTTGCTCATCTACTCTAATAGGTGCTGTAACCCAGCACCTGAGATTGAACATGCCTAGTCCTATTCTTTATAGCCCTTCTTCTTTAGCCTCTTGTATGAACTTTACCATTTCTTTGATGTATTTAAACTAATAACGCATTTATCGACATAAAAGGACCCTTTAAACTTATCTGCTGTGTCCTTCAAATGATCGGGGCAATTATTATTAAGATGATATAAAATAGTTGCAGAGAGATGGAATGGACTCGAAGTCAATCCGAAAACTGCTCGCCTATGGTGATAAAGTATCGTGCCCCTGCTTTGATCGTTATAATCAGCCCACCAGATAAATTTAAGGAAGTGTCGATCTTTTGGCGAAACCGAAATTTGTAGAAGCTTTCGTTACGTCATGTCAGCTGCGTACTCCGATAGCATACTTTCTAAACCCTATTAGTAACCCAGGAAGAAGCTCAATTAAATTTATGCCCTTTTCTAGACTAGACTTTAGCGACACACCATTACAGTCTTTAGCAGATGCATCAAAAACTGATCTGGTTTTTGTAGTTAAGCTGATCGCTTTTATGACTGGATGATGAGGTAAGAAAAACCCCCTAACAATATCTTGGACAGAAGATATTTTAATAAAGTTGAGACTTTGCCCTTCCCTAAAAATTGAATCGTATTCAGAAGACTTACCTAAGGATTTCAGCCGCGCACTCGTAGATAGAAGTTGATTCCTGGCATATTCTCTTTCCACGGAAGTGTCACTTCGTACCTATTTTCTTTATTAACACGTAGGTAATTAGGCTGTCATTAAACTGTTGTAGAAACTCTGTATCTCTCGCCTTACGTGAAACCTGTTGAACGGGATTATTAATACCTAAAATCTCTAAGTTCCATAGCATAGGTATTTCAAGTCTAATTTTGTTAAGGAATGAAGAGTTGTCAATTTCACTTATGTAATATCAACTCCAGTCATTTGTTTTTGTATAGTCCACCCCTTCTTTGTTTTGATAGCAGTCAATGAATCATTAATTCGCATCAAGTCCGCCGTCATCAATGCATCACAATAGTCCGCACCAATGAGTAAAGAAATACAGTCAGGTGTGACAGCGGTCTCGGTCAACAATACATTATGCTTTTGTAATAACTTACCTACTATTGAATCAGTTTTAACCTTAAGTAATGGACCACAAACGTAATCTTGTTCTAATACAGACATATTAAGTATAAAATTGCTAGTTTTTACAAAAATACTATTTAAGTACATTACATTCATCCTTTTTCGTTTCGTAACCACCTAACAAACAGTGACTTATAGCCTCCTAACTTACTGGTTGCAGTTGCAGACCCTAGGCTAATTCCTTTTTTACACAGACACGAACTCTGTGCGCCGGTATCGATTAAAACTCTGACACATGCTTTCTTGCTTCCATTTACTACCTTGACAGTAAACGTTTGTAAAACGGTGGTAGTCTTAAGCTGACATAGCGCATGTGTTCTGATTTTTGGTCATTTTCCTCATTCTGTTTCTCGCTAACTGTCCCTTTCTCTAAAGGTAGAATTCTGCAATGGGCTGCAGACGACAACCGCAGGCGACACTGCGGCTGACCGTGCAGCATATGCATTGTGCAGCCGCGGCATATCGCCGCGCTCGGAATATATTTCATAGAGATTCATAGAAACTAGTAGTGTCGCCTGCAGTCTATAGCTGCGGCCTGTGGTCTGCGGTTCCGTTCGGAATTGTACATGAATCAATCATTTATTACACATCAGTGTAACGTGTCTTTCCTTGCGAACAAGGCACTTCAGGAAACTTCGACATCTTTTTGCCATGTGACCAACTTTTAAACAAATCATGCAGGCTCTTCTACTCTTTAATAAATCCTTACGTTCCGAACTTAAATGAGTATTCTTTTCACACCATATGCACGCATTCTTTCCTATATCCAGTTTCACTTTCCCACCGCTCTTTTCAGACCTTCTTTCCGTTACGAAACATGCAGTAGGAGGTTTAGAGCTGGTTCAAAACCGGAACGAGCCAATTGTATCCTTTCTTCTGACTCGACTTCATCTTTCAGGAATTGCATAAGTTTTGTCAGATCATCTCCTTTTATTTCGCTCCTATAACGGATTCTGTTCCAGGTCCTTAAAAATTTTTCGGGCAATGCTGACTCGATCATAGGGTATATAGTATGGAAGCATATTTGTCTTTAGCAATTCCTAGTCTTTATCGCTTGAAGATGACTGTGCAAGTTGTCATATAACAAATTGAACGAGTGGTGTTCTCCTTTATTTCGTAACAGTACTTGGTTCAAAATGCCTCGGACATAAAGTTTCAATAAGAATATCCTCTCTCGCAGATCGAGCTTTTAAAGCATTTTAAATAGTTGTCACCGCTGGTCGGGTAACTCTCGACAAGTTGACGAGCGTTAGTTTCTGGAGCCATTGACTGGAATAGATACTGAAATCAATATTGTCTAACTAACTCACCATCGTCATGTTTCTTTTGAAATTGTCCCCACCACAGTAAACAATTTTTGATGTTGACATCAAAATTCATGAGCTCAAGCTTCGGCATGTGAAGCCGTTGTTGGTTCTTGCTATTCCTGTTGTCGCACCTTGCTGCCACTACAGATTCTGCGGAACACAATGACGGCTCACTTTTACTTTGGTCCATTTTTGACTAGATCATTTTGTGTTTCGCATGTAGTAGAACCATTTTTTGCGGTAGGCTTTATCCTGATCTGCCTCGAACGCCTCTTGATCAAATGGTTCTGATGAACAGCACAAATTACGTAAAGCGCTTTCTACTTAAATAGTTAAAAAACTACTAAATAGTTTTTCGGAAGTTTCAGCTAATATCATAAAAGATTCTTCTAAATCCCCATAGTTCTGAACCTAGTCAAAATGGTTCGTCAGCGCAAATAGTGGATTCTCGCCTCAACAGTATTCTTTTCCGTTTAAGAGACTCCAATGTCATTTATTTCATTAATTATATACTTATAGTTAAATGTCACGGTCGCCAGAAATGTTGGAAAATAAAAAGGTAGAATCTTGCGGAATCGAAAGTTTAATTTATTTATACACAATTGATTGATTTATTGAATGAGACATACACATAGTTTATTATCTGGATTGATACTTATTGAACAAATTTAGGAGGGGGACGCTAGTACATAATAAATAAAACCAATGAAATAATTTAGGTACAAGTTATTTTTATTGTGGAGCTTAATTTACAAAACGAAGATTGGGTACCCAAATTGTTCGTTTTTTTTTTCAAAATATTTGATTTTTACTATGTTATAATTATGTCTATGTTATATGTCACTTCACATATGGACATTTAGATTATGTGCACGTATCAACACCATAATAATATAGCCTAACACTCAGATTACAGAACAAAAGGCAGATAGAGAGCACGGAACACGCAATGCGTGGCACCATAGCAAATACGTAGGGAATACACAGCGAAGCTCGCGTAAAACCCAGCCGGAATGCGAAAAGTAGAATAACACAAAAATATATTTTTATGACTTAAGATTATGGAGCAAGGAACTTTCTAAAAAGTTGTTTAAGTCAAAAATTCCTTTATTTAAATATGAAACCTAGTACATATATAATGCAATGCATTATATAATACATTTTACGCAATGATCGACCAATTTAATAAAGTAAAAATAAAAGGAGATTGCTCAGCTTCCATACATGTTTGGCCTAAAGACCAATAATCATGAAAAATTGTTTCCTAGATTCGAAATTATATATAAATTACTGTAGAAACGAATATTATTGACGGACACCCCTGAGAACTTCTATAAACCATATACACTGAACATATTAAAATAATAAAAAACAAATAAGTTATATAGTAAACTAGGGAAATCAAGCCAAGTACCGAAATTATGGATTAGATTCAGGTATATAGAGCATGTAGATTAACAGATAGTTGCCTGTTTTTAAAGTTAATTCATAAGAGTAAATTTTAAAATCAGGTGTCATTTCCGGTTATAATAAGGTACTCTGTGACAGAAACTGTGTGATGATTGTGAATGAGCCACAGATTAGAGAGAATTTTTAAACTCTCGTTAACCAAAGCAAGCCAAGAGATTTTATAGACCTAAAGGTTCTATAGCCATATATTCAGTAGCTTCATTATTTTTGTTATGTTTTTAAGATAACCATATTTTAGAATTTTAGTGTATCACACCTTATAATTTTATTTATTAATTTATAGTCAGGGAACGTAGGCCCAGATACCTTAAAGTCTAACATATATACAGATTATAATGTGTTTATGGAGGTGTTTGGCGAAAACTGTATGGCAATAGACTTTATGATGTCGCCTACCGTCTATAATAATTGTCTAAGCACATTTGCATCTAGTGAAAATGATAATATAGTTGTGGATATTAATACCACAGTGTAATAAAAAAAATGACTTATTTTATCGATCTTTACAAAAAAGATTTGTTTTTATGTTATATAAACAACTTCGATCAGTCTTTGGCTGAATGTTACTACACCCATAGCCATTTAAAATGATTCGTATGTTTTCCAAACCGGTAAAATTAAAAGTCCTTTTTAAAGTAAATATATTAAACAAAGGTGTCCGTTGAAATCCAATGACTGTAAATTAAATTATAAATTACTTATGTACTAATAAAATGTCTTGTGTATAGTAATGTATGTCAATATTTTTTATGCATTTAGGCCAATTTGAGCAATCTCCTTTATACGACAAGATTAATACGTAGGCAACGATTGATAGCTAGGTATGTACTTTAATTCTCACACTACAATAGTTTATTATATGTGATACTACTTGAAACCGCATTCTTTATATAATCGAGTTTTACTCGTTTCGGCATTCTTCTGAGAAAGCTCTTAAAATCTCAATGGCAATAGGCACAAGAAGGATGGCATCGTTTCCCGTCGACGCCACACTTGCAGCCGGCGCTGGTGTCGCCGCGGCCGGCGGGGCCCCAGCGTCGCCCGCGCGTCACCCAACATATCTCCGTCTTGCACGCAGAACATCTCACCCAATCGCAGCCCCATTTCTTTGTGATAACGGCGTTACATTCAGGGCATTGCAAAGCTTCTCCGCGACTAATAAGAGACTCTATCAACGCTCGGGTCCCCTCGTCCGTTTGGTCTGCGGTGTCGGCCAAAGCTGCAGTCTTTAGTTTCGTTTGATACTGCTCACATGTCTCGCCTTCGTGTATTGCCTGAAAACTCAATTTGTTATGTAACGAAAACGTAACAAATATGAAAAAACCGGACAAGTGCGAGTTGGACTCGCCCACCGAGGGTTCCGTACTTTGTAAGTAAGTAACATAAACCAGCGTTACTCTGTTTTTTTACATAAATTTACTGTGATTTTTCACAGCTTCAAGAGACCATAGAAATAAGTATATGGTTAAAATTTCAACTCTATACTACCGATGTAAAGACTTGACAGACAGACAAAGGAGATTGCTCAAATAGGCCCAGATGTAAAAAAAATATTGACATGTACCGTAATTCTTGGCGTAATTTATACTTAATTTTACAGTCATTAGATTTTAACGGACACCTTTGTATAATACATTTTGGAAAACATACGAATAATTTTTAAAGGCTATGGGTGTAGTAACATTCAGTCAAAGACTGATCGAAGTTGTTTTATAACATCAAAACAAATCTATTTTGTAAAGATCGATAAAATAAATCATTGTTTTGTTACACTGTGGTATTAATATCCACAAGTATATTATCATTTTTACTACATGCAAATGTACTAAGACAAATATTATAGATGGTAGGCGACATCATAAAGTCTATTGCCATACATTTTTCGCCAAACACCTCCATAAACACATTATAAGGTGTGATACACTAAAAATCTAAAATATGGTTATAATATAAACATAACAAAAATAGTAAGCTTTATTTAGTTAACCGAGTTAAAAAATTCTCTCTAATCTGTGGCTCATTCACACACAAATTCTGTCACAGAGTACCTTATTATAACCGGAAATGCATAGATGATACCTGATTTTAAAAGTTACTCTTATGCATTAACTTTAAAAACAGGCAATCTATTAATGTACATGCTTTATATACCTGAATCTAATACATAATTTACTATACTTATTTGTTTTTATTATTTTAATACCTATGTACCTATTTGCAAAAATAGCCTCAATATCATTCAGTGTATATGGTTTATAGAAGTTCTCAGGGGTGTCCGTCAATAATATTCGTTTCTACAGTAATTTATATATAATTTCGAATCTAGGAAACAATTTTTCATGATTATTGGTCTAGACCAAACATGTATGGAAGCTGAGCAATCTCTTTTACGGCTGTAACTTTTTTTTATTATTGATATGTGAGTGATGGCCACAGGCTGGTTCTGTCTGGGAGACACTTAATCTTGGGAACGTCTGGAAGTATACAGTTAAAAGGAGACGGTTCAAATTTGTATGGAGGGTGGTATCGTCAGTCTCCGGCAGACTCATTTTTTTTTATGAGATTAAGTGCGCTTAATTTTAAATCGTTTGCAATAAAACCAGATTTTATTTAATCTCTGTTTTTTGACGTGACAACGTCTTAAATTAGGTTGCGGCTGGGAGTCACTTATGAAAAAGTGTAACGCTCGGTAACGTTACGATGAGTCTCTCGTGTTAAGTTTAAGTTTACATGTACAATGTTTTAGTAAACAAAATATATTTCTATAGTTAAAATTTGTGCAATTCTTATTTTCATTCAATTCCTTGTTCCTATTGTGCAATTTAATTATATTCATATCAATAAATATTCTACCGAGAAAAAGACGTTGTCACGTAAAATCTTCGCCCGTAAAACCGACTTTACAGGCAACCATTTTTTTTTTTTTTATAATTATTATAATATAAAATTATATCATTATTGTTTGGCAAATTACAAGTTTATTTATGTATTTCTAGTTACCAAAACATCAAATATATTCGTTATAATTTTTATTTTTAAGCATGTAATTGCTTGATGTTTAAATCTTAAGAAAATATAACTAGAAAAAATTCCACGCGGACCAGGCAGCAGACGGGACCCGAACCCGCATCCTTCGCTATCCAGGCGAATGTACTGACCAATTAGGGCCGCGCTAGCATTTGCTCATTAGCACGCGTTAGAAAGCATCTTTATCGCTGCTTGTGGTCTCCTCTTTAGTTTAGGCAAAATATGTAGATGGCGTTGTTAATAAAATGCAATGCTCTCTGAACTAGTTCTTTTTACATCAGATCAGTTTAAAGCATGCGCTCCACAAAAAATGGTGACGTCGTGGACGTTTTTAATGACCCCAATTTTGTAGAAAACACTCTTTTCTCATTATTTAATCTTAAAGTGTGACATATCCACATGTTCCTCAAGATTTAACCGTGTCAGTGATGTGAAAAGACCATAGTTTTTTATTTGCGTTACAATTAAAAACCTACAAAAATGTGAACACGTAAAAGTAGTTCAGCCGCCCGCGGCTTTATTTGTTACCAGCTATTTATATTTTCTTTTGTTAGATTTTTCTTATTTTAGGTTTCTTCGAAATATTTATTCATAAAAAAATACTGTAAAAAATTACAAACATTGGAAAGGTAAGGATTGTTGATAAAAACCAAGCCTGTATCAATTAAGAACTTAGGCACCTACCAAATATTTAATACGTAACTATTTAGGTATTATAAATACAGGGCAAATTTAAATTTTCATTCATTCAGAGGGGCTGCCATGTTATCACGTCAAAAATCATACTTTTAAGTTAACGTAAAGAAAAGATATAGCCGTTTATGTTGTGTACTTTGTACGGAAACCTCGGTGGGCGAGTCCGACTCGCGTCTGTCCTTATTTTGACGTGACAACGTCTTAAATTAGGTTGCGGCTGGGAGTCACTTATGAAAAAGTGTAACGCTCGGTAACGTTACGATGAGTCTCTCGTGTTAAGTTTAAGTTTACATGTACAATGTTTTAGTAAACAAAATATATTTCTATAGTTAAAATTTGTGCAATTCTTATTTTCATTCAATTCCTTGTTCCTATTGTGCAATTTAATTATATTCATATCAATAAATATACTACCGAGAAAAAGACGTTGTCACGTAAAATCTTCGCCCGTAAAACCGACTTTACAGGCAACCATTTTTTTTTCAGTAGGTACGTACTTGACATGGCACACAATTGATGTGCTTGCATACGGGACAGGGGAAGCGCCGAGCACCAGTATCGCAAAGCGCCCAGCCCGTACAATCGCGTGTGCGGCAATGAAACGCGTTTCGAGTTCCACTCTCCGCCGCTGCCAATCCACGATTCAACCACTTCTCATAGTCCTCGGGGCTGACTAATGCTCGTATTTCACGTTCATGCAACAATCCAATACATCCCATAGCAGGGCATGCTACTGCTGGCTCTTCGTAATGGCGGATCACATCGACGAGGCAGGGTCTACAGAAAGAATGTGCACATTCACGCAACACTACCCCGTCGCCGGGTGCGCAGTCCTCAATACATATATCGCATACGAACGCTTCAACGTTAGGAACAACAGCTTGACGTTCCAGTTGAACCAATTCGTTGTATACGTCGGTTGATTTCTCTCCAATTTTATCAGTATTGTTCATAAGCTCGGTTTTAGCTGTATCTTGGCATAAATCGCGTATCTGATTTTGTACATTTTCATCTGAAATTACAAAAAACACACTCTTAAGTGAGATAAAAACAAAATGATAGAATCTTCCTGTTTCATATTATGGAACCATCATCATCACCCTCACATCAAAGGATTTCCATATGCAACACAAATAATATTCAATCATGTATTATTTGAAAAAATGTAAAAATATCATATCATCTGCGTATATAAAAGCCAACCGCTACTGAATGATCTATCAACGCAAAACTTAAACCACTGAACGGACTACGCTGAATTTTGGCACACAAATAGCTATTATGGTGTAGGCGTGCGCTAAGTAAGGATTTTACAAAAAATCAAAGTTTTGTATGGGAATATAACATTTCCACAGGGTTCCCAACTTTGGGGTTTTGCCCCCAGATTAAGGGGCTAGAAGGGTTAAAACGGACTTTTTTTGGGGGTTCTTTTAGGGGCTTTTAACAAAACTTTCAATTAAATCGAAAAACAAAGCGTGTGTTGTCTTTCAGTTTTGTGCGTAGAATGGAACGCACCACGATATGAAACGATTGAACTCACTGTGTGGCAGGTTGTTTCTTAAGGCTGTATGGACTAAAGTTCTTTGCCTTCCACCAATCAAAACAGTTAAATAAGATTTAACAGCCTGTCAGCTCATTTTCGTTTGATTTTCCATTCGGAAAATGTATTTATTCAATAAAATAATTTACTGTAACGAAATATGTAACGTTTTAATTTATGAGCAACGAAAGAATTTAGGTAATAAGATAAGTAGGTACATATAAATTTCTATATTTAGGGGATTTTAGGGGAATTTAAAAATACTTCGGGTAAAATTTTGGTAAGGGTTGGTAACACTGCATTTCCACGCAGACGAAGTCGCGGGCATCCACTAGTTATAATCTGCGCAATTAATGTTTTGATGTTATAGAACTCACCACATTCCACTACACAAAGGTAGAATGGCACATCAAGGCCTGGACCAGCAAGAGATACGAGTGCGGTGTCGTCGCTGTTACACAGTTCTTTGCCGACAATCCAGCGCTGCAATCGCATCGGTAGACCTAAAGTTTGCTCAGCTCGTCGCCTCAACTCTCCAACGTTGGCATTGATTGTGATCCGCAAGCGAAGGGGTCCATGTGCCTTTTCCTTGTCTTCTATCCAAACAGCGATCCTAATAATCAGAAATACGAGTAAACATTAAAAAATAGGTATTCGACTGAAAGAAACGGCGTACTCGACTCAGTTCATTTACACTTAGTCGTCAAATGTAATTGCGCCATTACTTTTTAACTCGTATATTTAATAGTAGATACAATCAGCCAATTTGATTCCTGACCTACCATAAGTTTATTTTGTTACAACCATTTCAAAACAATAAGGTAGATTTTTGCTTAAATATAAGTATCCCTGGAAACAAACTTGTTATTTCCATAAGGGCGCTTTCAATTTATGCGTTTCTTGACGGCGGCCTGCTGTGGTGCCGAAGCGGTGCGTTTGTCGTACAGCGGACGGACACCGCACCGCGCGTTTTGTGTGAAAAAAAAGGATCGCCCATCCGCTGTACGATAAACGCACCGCTTCGGCACCGCAGCAGGCCGTCAAGAAAGGCGAAAAATTGAAAGCGCCCTAACAGTCATATTTGACGGGAAAGTTTTTGGCGCCTTCCTGTGACATTATTTGACATTTTAAGTATGGAGTTTTGCACATGGACTAAGGATTTCCTCACACATGAAACATGTTTTATCAAATAAAGGTTTAATTTAATAACGCGTGTTGCCTCCATGGGCATCTACCACAGCTCTCATACGATTAGGCATAGAGTTTATCAACCGCTCTACGAAATTTTGAGGGATCATCTCCCATTCCTCTTCTATGGCAGTTTTCAACTCCTGCATCGTCTGGGCAACTGGCTGACGAGACCTAACACGTCTTTTTAGCTCGTTCCACATGTGCTCAATGGGGTTCATGTCTGGGCTTCTGGCTGGCCAGTCCATAACTGTGATGTTCACATCCCGAAGATATTCCCTGACGATGCCGGCCGCATGGACTCTTGCATTATCATGCATAAAAAGGAATTTTGGGCCCACATAGTCCGCGTATGGTATCACGTGAGGTTCTAAGCACTCACGAATGTACCTTTCAGCATTTAATGTTGGCAGCCGTGGTCCTGTAACAACCTCAAGTTGAGTTTTACCGCTTGCGGATATACCGCCCCAGACAGTCCATGAGCCACCGCCATAAGCAACCCTCTCTTCAAAGCAGCATTGTGCGAAACGCTCTCCCTTACGTCGGTAGACCTTCTTCCTTCCATCATTGCCATGTAACACAATTTTAGACTCATCAGAAAAGAATACACGGCTCCAATCTTGCTGTGTCCAATTTAAATGACTGCGTGCGAAATGAAGGCGCGCTGTTCGGTGGGCTCGCGTTAGTTTGGGCCCATTAGCTGGCTTGTGTGGTACCATATCGCGTTCTTTTAACCTTCTCCGAACAACAACAGCGCTCACAGATACTCCGTGGAAGTCGCGAATTTGTTTTTGTATCTCAATGGAGGTAAGGTGACGATTTCTCAAGCTGGTCGTCATGATGAATCGATCCTGCCTTTCAGTTGTGACCCGAGATCGTGGCCTTCCTTGGCGACGAACAAAGCCGCCAGTCTCTAGGTACCTCCGATAAACATTTCGGACCGCAGATCGACTTAAATTAAGTTGAGCACTCACGTTTCTTTGGCTGCGTCCGGCCTGAATAAGTGTCACAGCTTGGGCGGCGACTTCAGGTGAAGTATTCATAGATTATTGATAGAACCTCACCTTAATGTTAAGAATAAGTAATGTTTGTTGCAAAACCAAAGATATCAATCACTTTTTCAAGAATTAAATCCAAGTAAACCAATAAAACCAAGTTTTCTTAGTATTCGATTGTTTGATATCAACAAACAGGCTCCAAATTGTCTTTTGTTTCTTTAAATTCTGTGTTCGAATTTAAAAAAAAAAGACTATTGAATGAAATTGTGAATGTGCCAGGTTCAAAACTGCATAAAAACTTTTTGCTCTACCTAATATAAAATTTTAGCTAGGACCAAACGAAACTAAAAATACAAGGTGGGCCAATAGATGTGTCCAGAAGTGTATTATAAATTGTTTGTATGTTCTAAGTATGTTTGTTACTCGATCTCGCAAAACGGGTGGATTTGGATGAAATTTGGTACTCGCATATAAACTATACAGGGCGTCCCAGGGTGTTATTTAGCAAAAAATAATCCTTATGATTAACCCTTTCGATGGTTATCATAAAATATGTTGTGTTTTTTTTAGAAATCTCACGAGTTTCATTCCCAGTTATAGCAGGCGATTTTAAAAAAAATCTGTGAATACAGTGCTAAAATAGTTATTATTAAAAATAATGTCTTCTTTCAGAAAAATATCCTATCTTCAATATTTAATATACTTTCCCTCCGTGTGAGGTAGCCGTGGGACGCCCTGTATATGGCCTGTGGAATTGTCAAAAACTAAAGTTGCGCTAGAAATAAGCAAAGCAAGGTGAGGATGGTTGGTGTGGCAGTTTATAACTGCTGCACCAGATATCTTTGCGTCTGGACTTTATCACCACCTAAAATCATGTGGGATAGAGTCGTTTGCCTACCTAGCTATAAAAAAAAGATTCTGAATTAATTAAAATGTAATTAATACTATAATAACGTTTAAATAAAATTAATACTATGATAGTATTCTATTATATTTTAAATTTTAATTCATCACTGTTTTATATTATTATAAGTTTTTATTATTATTGTTATTACCAATTTGTATTTTATATGGGTACCACGCCTGAAATTAATACACTATTATTATTATTATTGCGTGTAGATCGGATAGAAAGAAACGAATCACCTATATTTCAGACTATCGTGTGAAAAAGATATTCATTATTATTTTGAATAGATACTTACGACTTGACGTTGCTATCCGCATTGTTCATGTCTTTAGAAGTTGAAGGCTGTGCAAGTGTTTCCGATACATTATCATCTGTTTTATTTTTGCTATCAAGAATTGTTGATCTTGTTGATTCACTTTTGCTTTGGATACCTTGTGCTAAAGTTCCAGAATCGTTAGAAGTAGACTGGTTCGGTAGTTCTTCGACTTTAAGAGGTAGATTTTTTATTTCAGTGGCAACTTCAGTAGATAATCTATTATTTTTTTGTATCAGAATATTGTTGGTTGAGGTTGAAACATCGTGACTTTTTAATCCCTTTTTATTATTTTCCGTTAGATTAGACTTCAGAGGATCAATCTTAACTGGACTTTCTTTTGATAGTATTGAACTTCTACCAACAGAAGTGGGAATTGATTTATTCATGGCATGATCTGCTTCGGGTGTGGTGATATTATTTAATACATTATGCGGAGGATTTTGAGAATTTTGTAAAATTTGAGAGGAAAAAGATAATACGGAACAAGATAAACGCAACTGCGCTAATTTCATCGCTGCTTCAGCAGCAGCGCGTTCATCTCCATTTGCTATAGATTTTTCTAATTGGTTGACTAAATCTCGGCGTCTGGAGTGGTTATTTATTTTATCTATATTATTTGTTTTAGTAGTAGCGAGTTTAATTTCGTTCGATTTATTGGCAACAGTGGAAGTGCTTTGTTCGTCGTCCGTGTACACATTATTGCATCTATCTGTGATATGCTTATGTTTAGGCACATGTGATGGAGTCTTTGGCGATGTACCGGCTACCGAGTTCAACAAAATATCTCGTACAGCATCAGCAGTTTTTACATATATTGGATCGGTAGTCGATTCTATCTTTTCCGGTAAATGCTTAATTTCTGACGATGAAGATACTTTTCGCAATTGATCTTGATGTAAACCATTTGGTTTCGGGATATAAATGGGATTTAATAAAGATGAAATTTTAAGTGGTGTGTTGAGTGCTTTTCTTTCATTATTGGATAATTGAATAGGTTGTTTGTTCAAGTCAGTTTTCCTTTCGTCAAGTTTAGGAGGTTGGTGCATATTCGTTTCATTGAATTGGACCATTAATACTTTAGATTCCGATTTTTTGGAAGGCTGGTTATTAAGAGTTGGTTTATTTTGTGGGCCAATAGTGCGCTCAATACCAGAACCTATTGGTAATGTCGGAGTTTCAATAGAAGGCATAATAACTTTGCTTAGATTTTTTTGATCCTTTTTTAGATTATCAAGTTTTGTACGTTTTGGTAGAGAATCTTTCATTTCCTTTAACATTTCTTTCAATTTTTGTTTTTCGTCCATTTGATGGTCGTTACTTGTAGATTGGCTAGGTGATTCTTGTTCTGTTTGGGTATAAATCGTTAATTTGTTCCCGCTGCCCGCAGACTTACATGACACATTTTTTTTTATATTACAGAGCATACAAGCGTCTACAGATTTATCGTACTTTCTCGAACACTTAATGCAATACCAAACACACTCTGTACCAATTCCTTGTTGATTTGTTTGATTTAGTTTTCTTAACCTTGAGGTCTCAATAATTTCAGCAGCCTGTTGGTCTAATTCACTTATGCTGGGCAGTACTTTTACCAATGATGTATCAACAGCAGAATTCCTTTTTTTGTTTTCAAAAATCTGTTTTAAAAAGCTTTTTTCTGGTCTCATTTTAACGTCCTTCAAATTCATTTCCTTTTTAATATACTTTTCCTGCTTACATTCTAAACCCAATGAGGTTAACGGTCGTATCGCTGGGCTATTTGATTGGTTCATATTAATTTTGTTGTTTTCGTCCATAAATATATTTTTTATTTTATTTGTTTGACCAGTAGTTTGGCTAGGAGGCTTCGGTGCAGGGCGCTTTCTTGAATGCCGTCGGTAAGTAGTGCTCGCTGGGACTGCAATAACGTCAGGTGCAGCCGGTATTCTTGAGGGCGGAGGTGGCGCACGGCGCTTCCCTGGTACGTGGGCTGTTCTCCTTTGATGGCACTCACTCGCAGCCCTTCGTTCTCGATCTTTCCAATCTTTCACAGTTCCAACCCTACGAAAGGGCGGCAGACTATGAATGTCGAAATTCACTGCGTTTTCACCTCTAAAGAGACCATATTTACGATGAAGGGTAATGTCTCGATCATACTGGCGTCGTAAATTTCGTTCACGTACTCTTTTTTTGTACGAGTCAGTGGGTGGTCCTGGAGGTGGCACAACCAGAGGTGCAGTGGTGGAATGATAATGAGTCGGTGCTAAGAATGCAAAACTGACGGCCGTAAGGTCTGAGCCGGCGCTGGAAATGCTCTCGCTGGAGGCGGAGTGCTCCTCACCGCGCAGCCATGAGAGAAGCGTCCAGAATCCCCCAGACAAAGGGCGTATGCGGGTAGAACCGCTCTCTACGCCGCCAATCATCACATCTGAAATATTTTTTACAATAATAATTAATCTATCCATTTTAATAGTTATTTAAATAAGCACCTAGTAAGTGTTTATCGAACATATTTATCAATGCAATTTGTGGGCCTGCTTCTTAGGATTGTTAGTTATATAGTAACAATTCAGTTATTCGCGACAAAGAAAAAAAAAGAATAAAAACTACTAAAATAAAGCTAAATACATTCAAATAACAAAGACTTATTATAGTAATCGTTAATATAGAATACCTAAGTATAACTAAGGTAAATAAGTGTAGTGTTAAAGTTTACTTTCATCTTATTATAGAACACATTATCAGTCTACGAAAATAACACACGTAGTATTTTTATGTACTTACGTATAAAAAACTGTAGACAGCTGCAATGTCAAACTAGAGCATGTTAAGTCTCAATTACTCACGCCTACTAAGTACATTGTATTTTGCATTACTTTTAAAATAACTTTATATAATTTGTAGCACTTTTTACATTATTGTAGATCATAAACTATTATTTACACAAACATTTCATTATTTATATAAAAGATATAGTTTAAATTTCGATTTTCGTCATCGAGTTGATGTGAGCTTGCGATAGCGCGTGTTTTAGTGCAACAAAGCGAGGTCACGATGAGACTGCGCACGCGCGACTCCTCCCGTCGGTTATATTTAGCGCGACTTTGCGACTCCGATTTTGCTATTTTCATTTCATTCTTCTTCGCTCCTACTTAAATTTAGCTATAAGCCTGATATTTACTTTAAAGATGCTCTTCTTAGTAGGCGAAAATACTTTAATAAGCTATGCATTCACTTAAATAGGTAACTGTATAAGTGATTACTTAGCTTATTAAAGTCTTCATCGATAATTTTCGGAGTTAAATATTTGAATCAATGTTTGGTGCATCACAATGGATAAAAAATAAAATTAACGTTGTTTCAACAGTTTATTATGGTATAATCCGTTCGGTTTTATTTTATATATCATAATAATTACTAGTTTACACTAAGAAGTTATTTACAATAAAAATGTTTATGACACCCTTTTCATTAGTCATATATTGTATGTATAATAAGCTTCTTAAAAACAATAATTTAACATTCTGAAACTGTGTGTGTGTACCACATACACTGTGTTGCACCTAGCAACGGTAAATTAATTTGAAAGTTCACTGTGTAATCCGCTCCTCGGATGAGTTGGTATTGGTGGTCTTAGCAGTTGCTGAATATGATTCACTGGTGCATTGTATGACGAGCAGGGCGGCTGATACGCGTGCAGTCAATTCTGCTTGATTCAACTCGTGTGCCCACGGCACCCGTCCCCAGCGTGTTAACTGTTACAACAAAAATTCAAAACATCAAGCTTTTTCTGATGTGATGACAGTAAAATCATAAAACGGTTGGTATCGTATAAGAGCTTGGGGCCTGAGGCTTTTCATATGAAAATTACGGTAGGTTACTCCTACCTACCTGATATTTAGTTTATACTAAAAATATCTGCGTCAAAACAAGACTGCTGTTATCAGCAGTCTTGTTTTGACGCAGAACACTGGTGCTGCAGAAAAATGTGCCCTGTCTCAACGTCTAACTTACGAACCCCAAAGAAATTTTAAAAATATACTCTAATATGAATAAATATTACTAACACACACACCAATTAGAATAGCCCCAAAGAAGGCACTGTAAGGCTTGTGATACTAAGGTAACGGATAGAATACATAATACCTACTGATACATATTATAAGTATATTTTTATTGAGAAATATATGTAAAAGCCCATGATTTATGTACAAAAGTTTGTATTCATCACACAAAAATTTACCCCACCGGGATTCGAACCCGGAACCTCTGAGTAGGTGACACCTTGAAAACCGGCGTAGATACCCAATGCATACCACTCGAGTCACAGAGGTCGTCAAAATAATTAAATATCTTTAATATCCGGCAATCTGATGTATTTACAGAGCTCAGCATTCTCAACAGAATAATTCTGGAGGCGGAGGTTAATATCTCAAGTGGGCGGAAAATCTACTTCTCATGTAGACGGACCGACTGATTGATTACTTGATCTGCACCCAGCCCAGACCATACATTTGACCTGATTTCCTGATTATGTCTGATTTAAGGATGGCCCGAATTTATGCAATAAAATATTATATTTATTTTTTATGATTTCACGCACTGCACTCATTAAACCAAAACAAAATCAGTGCATTGAATTTGAGATGTTTTGGATATTTAAAAAACGGCTTAACGGTTTTCGACAGAATTGGGCTTACATCTTACCGGAATTCAGGATGTAAACTTCTATATCAATTCTTATTTATAAGTTCGAATATACTGTTTGTCTGTTACACTTTCACGCCTGAATTACAGGAGGCATACCTACTATAGTTATATACGTTTTCATATACATAAAATAATTGGTTATTAATTCTCTTGAAATAGTATTTTGCGGTAAAAACTAGCTCTTTATATAAAAAAATCATCGACACCAGTTCAGCAGATTACGGCGTAAAAGTGACAAGTTCATATCTTGTGATTAGGTTAATAGGATAAAATTAATTAATTTTTCGATTATGCCACCTTTGACGGCAATATGCGACGGGATGGGACCAAGGGAGTTCAGAGATGTGAATATGAATAACTTAAAATGCCCTTGACGAGTAGTAAGTAAATAAAATTGGACAATTCCAAAGAGTTCCACTACCGCATCCAGTTTGAAAAACAAATTTTGACTTGAGTGTGCTACGTAAACCATTATTTGTCAACGTTCTTATTAACCTTCCGTAAGTTAAAACAAAACACAGTGAACGAATATATTCTCAAATAGATTATTTAAGTCCATTTAGATTAAATTACGTACGACGTCAAGATTTTATAATAAGTTTTACTATCACAGTATATTATTACCTGATATTCTTCTTCAAGCCGTGCTAATAAAACAGCTTCATGTGGATCCAAGTGTCGGTCGACACAGGCCAACATTAAAATTGGCGATTTCAGGGCTTCGACACCAAATGACAGCGCTAAAACAATATGTTGAAGTGGGTATACACAATATCTTATCATCATTTTCAACCTAATAATGTCCCCACTGCAAAGGCACAAGTCTTCCCTATGAATGGAATAGGGAGATTGGGCAATGCGATGCATGACATGACCCACCACGCGGGCCCATTGCAGATTGGTGGATGCTAACGACTGCAAATGCAGTCGCGACCAACGGCTTAACGTGCCTGACGAAGCACAGAGGAGCTCGAGGCAGACATTTTTTGTTACCCAGCCGATGACCGACCACTGCAAAATTTGCTAAACTCTATGATGTGAACTCTAGAATGCGCTAACCACTTGCGATATCGAGCTCCTCATATCCTCCCCAATATCTTATTATAAATAAATTCGAATGTCTGTAAACAAGTAGTTTTGGTGATACAGTCATCAAATCGGTTCGTTTTTTCCCAACAACACATCTTTTGAACAGATCACCAAACCCTTTATTTAACCTATCAGAAATGGATTTGACTACAAATGTAATGCCAGCAGTTGTTACGACCAACTTGTATTTATCACCAGTTTTTATATAATAACATGTTTTTACCCGCCGTCGGTTCCCTTCATGGTTGGATGCTGGGAGAGGTTGGTGCGGAATGTAAAGACCGCCTTATCTGCAACCCTCAAGGAGAAGGCACCCAGAGAGGAAGTATTCTATACATTGCTCCTAGAACCGGAGGCTATTGTGAACTCTAGGTCACTAACACACGTATCCGCAGACGCTGACGCAGAGATTGCTCTCACGCCATGCAAACCCGCACATTCGACGACACCGATCTATCCAGCCGAGCGCAGTGGAGGAAGGCCCAGCGTCTGGCCGATCATTTCTGGCAGCGCTTTACAAAGGAGTACCTACCGACACTCGTACCACGTCGCTCTACACCTTTGGCGGCTACGAATTTGAAGATTGGGGACTTAGTGATGATTGTGGACGGGACTCTGCCCAGGCGTTGCTGGCCACGTGGCCGTATTGTGGCCACATACCCAGGCAAGGACAATAAGGTTAGGGTTGTCGACGTGCTAACTAAAGGGGGTATCCTGCGTCGCCCTGTGAGAAAACTTACACCGTTGGTATCCATACCATATCCTAAGTAACTAGGTGCCTACACCGAGGGGGGCCATGTTACGATCAACTTGTATTTATCACCCGTTTTTATACAATGCCATGTTTTTATTGTTTTCTGTTTTATATCCATACTTTGTACATAATCATAGACATTGAATTGTCATATGTATATTCATAAAACAAATTAAAATCAGTGCTCAACCAACTTGTGTTACACTCACAGGAGTCTTTGTTAATCTCCAAAATAAACATAATGAAATTCCATAAGAGAGGATACACACCTCTACAAAAAAACATGTACTATCGCGGAATTTTGCGCTCTGTCACTTGGCGAACAAAATGCTTTGAACAGTTTTCTACAGTAGTTATTACTACGCCCCGCCTTCGCGTCGGACGCGCCAATCCGGGCCGCCGCACAAAAGTAAGACAGAGAGCATTTCATTGATTGAATAATGAATTGAATTGCATTTGTTTTAGTTGCAATTTGTCATCCGCAACGTAATCGCGACAGCGCTATACGAAAAAGTACGACAGCTATAATTACATGTCTATGAATGAATTTTTACCCGCTACCGCAAGCGGTTATGGCATTATGGGTGACAGAGCGGATCTTTCTGGGAAGTGTACCTAAGAAGAATTACGTGCCCACATCGATTTCAGTTAATTTTTTTTTTCATTTACTGATTTACCAACATTTGTATACACCAAAAATAGTAACGCTAACATTTTGAGTTGTCTAAAGTTCAAGTGTAACAAATACTTATAGGTAAATACATCATGCATTTAAACAAATTACAATCGAAAAATTACAATATTTTTAGGTACTGTTTTGTGACAAATACTTATATAACTAGACTGAAGCTTGTCTAACGAGTCCCAGACAATATCAAGTTGAACGTTTTTTTTTGTGTATTCATTAACCAGCTTGCATAGTCTTGAAATTGGGGAGTTGGATCCGAATACCGTTCTGCGAAGAGGTGCTTTGATAGGGTTTATCCTACTTCAGGGGTATCTTGAAACAACATTGCAATTAATTTTATCCAGAATTTTTTATTTTTGAAATGTTTTAACTGTTTTTTAATAAGATGGTAATATTTTCTTAGAGATACCCTCAGTGTATCTAAGGTGTCCCATGACCATGATCTGTATTTTCAATTGAAGGGAATGTGTAGCAAAATGTGGCTTCCATACACAAATGCTACAGTACTCTAAAATACTATGCACTAAAGCATTGAACAAGAGTTTATGTAAGCTTCTAGCATTTCCAAGCACAAACCCCAAAACCCTCGATGCACGATTTCTGGTATTCTCTATATGAGCCACAAAAGTAAGTATTTTGCCAAATATCACACCCAAGTCACGGACACAGTCCAATTCTCCGATTTTAAATGAGCCAATACAATATTGATATGTGACCAAATGTCTCTTTCATCAGGTAGTTTCATTCTCAGTTTAACAACACACAATTTCACGTAGAGACAACCAAGCCAGCCTTGTTTTTTATGACAGAGATGCAAACATCTACCCTAGTCCGATTGACCAGCCTCAGCTACACATCATATCTGATGTACCCTGGATACTGCTGCCTGGATAACGCAGATGCGGCGTGCCTATTCGTCTAAGAAAAAACAGGTCTCATAGCTGGGACCCGGAAATCGACCATTTATTGGGGCGCAGAAAAAAGAGGGCTCGTTCAAATTCAGCATCATCTTTGCAAGGGTTTGTTTGACCTACTGCAGAGGCCTATAAGTACACACCTAGAAAACATCCAGGTATCTAATGTTGCTTAGGAACCTCAGTTTATAAAGTGATCAATTGTGTGTCAAAAATGTCTTAGAACTGTCCAATTCAACCACCAGGTATACCCCACATTTGGCATTATATTATAGGTCAGCCATTTGGGATAGGAAACTCTTCTTCTTCCCAAACGATTCAGATACCTGTACAAATGCCGTGTTTGGCAAACTTCTGATGAGCAGGAATGTTTTATTCCTAGTTCTGAAGTTCATATTGACAGTCGGCGTCAGCTTTGATTTGGAAGGTTTTGCTAAGTAGCCTAAAATCGAAAGTGTACAGTACACCATGGACCCTAACACCACTGATTCCATGGATAAATTCAATGCTGCTAATAGATTAAAAAAAAAAATTGTGCATACCTCCAGGGTTGGTCAGAAATTAGTTGACTACATATCCAATTTTATTAGATAATCACTTTACAGCAATCGAGGGACCAACTGACAAAAATTACCGATTTGAACTAAATCAAAAATTTATGTAAACAATTAGATATTTAAGATGAATCATACTAATTCATACCATTAAGAGCAGGAAATGAATATGACAGAAAATGTCTTGCTAGTACTGCCCTCGTCTCAGTGGTCACAGGTGGTGGCATCAATTTCCTCGATACTTCTTGTATTATATTATATCTATTTTGGAACCATTCCAAAACAGGGCCCCATTTAATTTGTTGTAAATTTTTCAGTTCTTCTTCTTCCTAAAAAATTTTTACAATTGTAAAAACGTGATGTGTTTGTTTATTTCATTAAAAAGATTACCTAACCTCAGTACTAACTTACTTCTGAATGAAATAATAGAGTGTCTGTAGGGAAATAATCAATGAGGTAACTTGTAATATCATGGGAAGTTATCTTTCCAGGATTGTCCAATGCTGTATTACATAAAGCAGTCTGAAACAAACAAACTTTGTGATCCAATGGAAATACATGAAAGTGAGGTACATGAAGCTCAATGGTACAGTAGTTTTCACAATTGATCTGCAATCTTTGAAGTTAAGCAACTTTTGCAATGGCCAGACTTAGGATGAGTGACCAGGGCAGGAACCACTGTAAAAAATGGGTCCTGTCCATAATATAGGTATGTTTTCTAATAGGTGATGCATGCATGACAGCATGTAAAGGTCATTTTAGGATAGGTACTTGAATTTCCTAACTATGTACGTGTATGATTGGTGTGATAAAATTTAGAAAAAAGTTTTCATAAACATATCAAAACAAACTGCATCAAGGTAACTTACCAAATGCATGATAGGCTGTGCAATGATTTCATTTTGTGCGTCCCATTCTGCAGCTATAGCCCGGGCGAGAGGCTCGCTGCGTACAATTAATACTTGACCATTGGGTGTTTTCAAACGTCGGTGATCCAGAGTGACTTCCCAATTAGTTTCATTTTGCACTATTCCAGTATTGCGGTAAAATCGCTTTCGTGTTGCTGTATTTCATAAAATTTTGGTTAGTCAATCATTGCATTGCGGTACAACTGTCTCACTTAATAGGTACTAAATATATCTAACTTTTGAAAGAACCTTGGAGCCATCACAGCAGAAATTAACTAATGTAAAAAAGTGAATTCGTTACCTACCATAAAATTGGTATCTAATGCAGCGAGGACATTGTGATTGTAATAAGCTAGACAGTGATTTACAAAATGTTAACATTTTAAACTTCTTATTGGCACGGACGGTCAATCAACTGCGCTTTCCACACGATGCTGCGAATTTCACATAGGTAGCAAAATTCTTTGGTAGATAGCTTAAATTACTGAGCAAGTAATAAATCCGTTTAAGCCATAATATATTCACTGAAGAAGTAATTTTAATTTATATAAAATTTCATAACCTTACATTCAAATCTGTTACTTCTCTTTTTTTTTCGTTTTGCCGTTAATTCTCTATTTCGGCTATTCATTAGTTAATTTCATCAGTTAATTGTGTAATCTTACTTGTTCAATGACGTTAAATCTAAATGTTATGAACCTACGCTCCAGGTGCAACATAAGTACAGCCTAGTTAGAGATTACTAAACATAACCTCTGAAAATTGACATTAGCTTTTTACTTGTCAAAATTGAAACGTCAGGGTAAAAAGTTACACATAATGCCGGTACTTCACTTGTTGTTGCATTAGCCAATTCTTCGTTGGCATTCGTTGGGTCGGTGTGTACGCAGCATTAAACGCAAGACCACAGCCCTACATTGACTCCAGTGTGACCAGATTCAGTATTTTAATACTTTTTCAGTATATTTCATCGATTTTTCCGAACATCAGTATATTTTCAGGTATATTGCTGGCAGTCAGTATTTTTAGGTATATTTTGGTAGAAGTTATGGCAACACCGTAGTGAGTGATCGTCTTTGCGACAATGTTTGCGGAATTCCCCGGAACGCGATCATTATGGACTTCCCCGGATTTAGTTTACCTATACTTATACATGTTATCTATGAGTAAGTTACAGATATGACAAGAAAGACGGCCGTTGTCGGCGTTGTAGTATTGTAATACTACATATACAATTATCAATCAATACATAGTATTAATCAGACTTGCAGAATGTATGTTCGCGTAAAACTTTACAACTGCTGGACCGATTTTAATGCGGTTTACACTGTTAGATAGAGCGTGAAGAAATGAAGGAGGTTGTGTAACTTTTAATCTTTCGAAAAGGATGTTAAAATATAACTCTAACATTTATTGTGAGTATGAATAAATAAAATGTGTTAAGAAAATCAGTATTTTTATTGGTATATCTGTCCTATGTAAGTCGGTATATTTCAGTATTTTTTTGAGGTGCCTCGGTATTTTCGTAAAATTTAATCTGGTCACACTGATTGACTCTCTTCTCTAAATTAAAAACTAAGTCTAAGTCTGTCTGTCTGTGGTTGTAACTACTACTACTACTACTACTACCTACTGTCTGTGGTTGTTTGTGAGTGCCTCTCTCTTGTTCGATGATTGATTTGTTTTTACGATCTAACTGGATTCTAAATTAAATTAGTGTGCAATCGTAGATTTCATTGTTTATTCTTGATTACTGTGCAGTTATTTATCGTGACGATGTCTTCTATGGATTTTGATCTCTAACGCAAAAAGCAAAAATAGTATTTGCATTTTTTAGGACGTCCAGTGACTTGTGAAGTGACGCGCTCCCTGGAAAGGCCAACAAATAAGCTATAAATAAAATATTTTGCCGTGGTCCAAAGCGATTTTTAAACTCCATTTCTTCTCTTATTTGTGATGTTCCCGCATTCCATCAGCGCGGACGAAGAACAGAAGACGAATTTGATACCGAAGCTTCTTCATTCAAAAAGAAAAGGAATATTTATACCCATGTTCAGAAATAGTGCTGTTCAATGCACAAATCCTACATTTCATTGTATAACAAGTGGTTTGAGTGGGTAAAATATTTAAGTGTCGTATCTAGAAAAAATGAAACTTCTAGAGAGTGGACGACTGGAGGCTCTAAGCAGAGCACTGTCCATTATAAATGGCGATAGTGCCGTACAAGGCAGAGTAGAGAGCTACAGTTGTAAAATGGCTGGGACTGAAAAGGCATTCTTTAAAAAATTCACTGCAGATGGGGAGACTACACATGACCTTCAAGCTTTGTCCCCACCTGAAGGTGTTACCTATTACAGGTATAAGTTTATCTTGTATGTCCTTAAGAAATTTACTTTCAAAACTAAGGTTTTGTAATATACTGATTGTTATTTACGTGCAAATAATTAAAATTGCAGCCGTAGCTTGTCAGGTGATGAAGAAGGTGTATTGTGTGATACAATATCCAGGAAAACCTTATTCTATCTCATTGCTACATTAAATGCTGCTTTCCCAGATTATGACTTTTCTTTGGCTAAGGTAAAATTTTGAAGTTAATTTGATTGCACTTTTCTTTAATTTCTTAGTAAAAACTAGGTAATTTATTCGGTTATATTTGTTAAGCAGAGTAGTGAATTTAGCGCGGAGTCTTCCCTGAGCTGGGTGCAAGGTGCAGTGGATGCAGCACTCTCAGCAGTCGGTGGAACACGATGGCGACAACTACGGCCGGCTCTTTGGGCAGCTATTGATGAAGAGGTCCTTCTACCAGATTGCCGCATATACAGCTATAATCCTGACCTTGCCAGTGATCCGTTTGGAGAACCTGGATGTCTCTGGGCATTCAATTACTTCTTCTATAATCGGAAGTTAAAAAGAATTGTCTTTTTTACCTGCAGAGCAATGAGGTATTATATCTTAAAATTTGTTACACATTTTTATAATTATTTTTTTATTATATGTAGGACTTAATAAACCTTTTCATTTCAGCCCTGTTTGTGCTGTTGATTCTGGTGTTGACTTTGCAATGGATGAAGATGAAGAATATAACTGATCATTATGTAGTGCTTCATTGAGTTAAGCATCGTTTTGCTGATTAACAACCAGGATGTGACATTTTAAAAATAACAGTATTTGAAATGCAAAATACAAAAAAGAAAATACCTATTTCCATTTAATTTTAAATACTTTTAAGGACATATTTTGGTTTTGTAAAATACAAGATTTGACATGTTTTTTTTATCAGATGCAGAATAGTTGCCACTTAGACACATGAATATTTAATTTAGTTTGGACAGTAGTCTTTATGTTATGTGAGTTTTTGTTAACTTGGGTGGTGTATTAATGCCAATACTTTATTTAGATTCTTTTTTGTTTGATAGGAGATACTTGTCATTTAATCAAAAAAAAATTAATTATGTTTCACCCAGTAGCTTTAATTTTATAAGCACTTTTGTTTACTTAGGCAATGTAATTTTCACGACACTTGGTGTAGTGCTCTTTTTACTAAGGGTTCAAACGAAAATTATATTTAAACAAAAAATAAAACTCAACTTTTTAAATCGAAAATTAAACTAAAAAGTACAAAATTCGTACTGGTATGATTTTGAAGTCGGGCTGGGCCAAGATTAAACATGGAATAGATTTTCACTTCTAAAATTGATATACAAGTTTTAATCTCTTGACTTCCAAATCATATCATACTAGGGCGGCGACGGGCGGGTCGCCCATTTTTCATGTGAACCGGATATTATTTTTTTGATAAGTTTAGTCAACAGCAATAAAAATTTATGCTTTTTTTTTCTCTCACCATGACATGACACTGAACTGAACTGTATTCATATTACACATATTTTCGAGCCACTATAATAGCGGCACACTGCTCTAAGGCCGCACGCTTATGGCGGTTTTGACGTTTGTGCATCCATGAAGTTTCATAATCTAAATTAGTCCTAAACAGTTCTAAATTTGAAAGAAATAATTATCGTTCTTCATTGTCACAAGACGCGTATTTGGTTTTTCGTTTGTATCGAATCGGTAATTTTAGCGCGTAGTTATTTTTTATAAAACTAAAATGTAAGTCTGACTTATATTATGGTTACAAAAATTCTTTCAAGTTTATAACAATTAAATATAATATCATTTTTAACTCTAAAACACCAGCCATTTGAGAGAATCTTCAAAAATAATAAGTAAATTAATTTATTATTTTTATTTTTTTTCATTAAGAACTGTTATAGCATACAAATAATAACATCATTATAGTGTACTAACTCCCACATAACTCGGCATTTGTATTATTCAAAATTTAAAATATCAAAAGATGAAATTAACAAGATTTTACATAAAGGGTCCCTGAGCATGTGTAAATATTTATGTTTCCGCTTTATGCAATCTTTATAATCAGCAATTTCTTGCAATTTTGGTAAAAAGTTCAATATTTTTAATATCTTGATGATTATATTAATTTTTTATCGATAACAGATTGACTTTTCACTTCACTATTACAATGTGTCAAAACGGCCATCCTAGAGTGCCGCGACTATAAGAATAAAAAGAAACACCAATAAAATAAACACAGTTTAAAACTAAAGGTATTTTATTCTAATAAAGTATTCGGAAATAGGTATTATAATTTAGTATTTTAAATATAAAATGATAAACTATTCTTTATTTGTAATTAAAATAAAGTACAGTAGAACGCCGATTAACCAAATCGCCAATTATCCGAATCGGTCTTATAGTACAGTCAATCTGTCGAAAAAAATATCGTTTCAGTGAAAAAAAAACCTAAAGGGTAAGTCTTGTTTTTTCTGTTGCCAAATGACGTCAGTAAGCCACCTTTTTTTCATACCTGCGCAATTTATAACTTGAAAACGGTAAGTAATACAAAAAAATTGTTTATACAAAAGTTGCTGGTAATTATGTACGAAACAACTTTGCCATTTAAAGTTTTCCATTAAAATGATATTTTCAGGGTGAAAAAGTGAAAAAACACTTTTTTTGAGACTTTAGCGCCACCTACAATGCGCATTTTTTGTTGTAGGAGATTGCAACAATGACATAAATTGTAGTACTCAACGCTCTCTACAATTATGGTCGAAAAAAAATGTTTCTAAAATGCATACAAAACAAGAGAAATGCGTTTCAAAAATTTTTTGACGGTTTTTTTGAGTTTTTCAAAAAACGCCTACGAGTTGAACATGCCCATCGCCAAGGTGGCTTACTGACGTCATTTGGCAACAGAAAAAACAAGACTTACCCTTTAGGTTTTTTTTTCACGACAACCTACAGATTGACTGTACTATTAAGCGTAATATAAAAAATTAAAACCAAGTTTTTTTTGTTTTTTATTGTAACTCGCTGGAGTACAGATATATTTCAACTGTTATGGTTGAAAGCTAGAGGCGAGACACTACATGATTTGCGTCGCGCGGTTTTTTTTGTTACTATGTACCTCTTTTATTGTATTTAGTATTGTAGAACTGTGTTTGTTAAACTTAATAAGGTCTATTCTATGTGTGACAGTTCGTTTTTCTTTATTACCAGTCTATGTCCGATTATCCGAATCGACGGTCGGTCCCAATTAATTCGGATAATCGGCGTTCTACTGTATTTACATTTTGTATTGAAATACTTTTTATAGTGTATTTTGCACATCTCTGTTAACAACTGAACGATAATCAAATATACAGTACATTAATGTTAACTTAATACTGTTTAGAAAAATAGTTTAAATCTTAGTTTCTGCTTAGCTTGGAGAAAAGGTTCTTGGACATGAACAGGCTAATAGGCAGACAACATTAATGCAAGTGTGGATCATCTCATGTCTACAATAGGGAATATGCATGTTTTTTTTAATATTTTTATTTAGTAGTTTACATCACCTTTATACAGAATAAAAAGATCAACGCGAAAACTATAGTAAAAATTAGCCACTTTGCACGGTCAGTTTAAACCCGCGCTATTTTCGAACGCTTGGATATGACACCACCATACATTAAATCTACAAACAAGATAATTGACTTTTCAAGATACTGGCATTTTGCGTTCCATACCTTTGCTGCAATTGGAAGTAGGAGCCTACGTCAATCAAATAGAATATATTTTTCAATTTTTTGGTAATATAAGTAGTAGCATAGTGAAAAGTTGCAGTCGGGTGTCTAGGTGGAACACAGAACATTATTAGGTACTCGGGGTGGAACGAGGCTTTGATATCTACGCACTCCATAGAGATATAAGAATAGAATAGAGTAGCGGAGATATAGACTCTACGACAAGTGGAAGTGTCCCTATAATAGAAAGAGAAAGAAGATGAGAGACCGCTAGCTTTCTTTCTCCAATCGCGCATGCGCATTGGCAACCGTAAGCATCCTACTATTTCGATGTGATGTCATTGGACGCCATGCGTCACAAGAGAGAGAGAGATAGCTAGCGGTCTCTTAATTTCTTTCTCTTTCTACTAGACGGACAATTTTGGAGCCGCCTTCCCCACTCTATTCTTATACCTCTATGACGCACTCGCACTATAATCTCGTTGACATTGGCATATATCCTGTGAACATCACGTTTGTATGTTACTAGATATAATTTTACGTCACAGCCGCTCTCGTCGCATTTCAAATTATTTGAAATTTTACTAGTATATCGCAGATTTATATCATTGATTTCTAACTCAAAAAGAAATTTTATTAACAAATATTGATGGCGGGACAACTTAAAAGTAATAGAGTTTATGAATAAAATGAGGCTTATTTGAATTACATGCATATTCCCAATTAACAAATGTATAAAAGTGATACCTATTGAAAACTTCCAAGTTATAACAGTAGGTAATAAATAGGTCTTCTATGTTTTTAGTTGTAAGCAAATATTGGTGAAGGTATAAAAAAATAAGCTTGTGAAATTAATTTCAATGCTCTCACAAATATATTAAAAAAACTTAATTAGAGGCTCTTTTTATCAGTATAAAAAATCCTTATTAAACTGAGAAAATAAAATGAGTTATTTTAGTCGAAATCCAATTGGAAATTTCACTACCTTTCATTTATAAATAAAAATGATAGTAGATATGATGCAATGTTACATTTGATTTCTTCTCATGCAGTCTGACAAAATTTATATTTACAATCAGCAAAAAAGCGGGAGTTATTATAATATTCTACCCAGAAACTACTTTGTTGTATGTTTTTATTTTATTTTAATTAATTGCTTTGCATATGGTCTTATTTGTAGGCAGTTTAATGTACAGACAAAACACATAAAGCTACCACAATTGATTGTTTAATTTACTCAATTAATTATGTTTTTTTAAGCAATACTCAGATACAGAAGTTGTAGTAAAGGATGGGTCTACACAAAATTCAATATTTTATAAGATTAATCTTTTGCATTTGGCCTAGCTTTTTTGTTCATCTTTGACTGCTTTTGATAACAGGACATGTTTTTGTCTGTACATAAATGTAGGTATTTTAATTATGTACTTTATAATAATATTAATACTTATACCAAAAATGTTTAAAATTGTAATAGGAATATCAATTTTAAAATTTATTGTAATGCACAGCTTATTAATCTCTAATAGGCTATTTGACAAGTTTCTGAAAATGTTCATACGTTATTTATTAGGGAAAAGTGACTTCTTTAAAGTGGATATTTATAATTCTGTTGCGTATATCAGTAAAAAAAATTGAAATATGCATAGGAAAAGTTGCTCTAGCATATTTGCTTTTAAACACGCCATATTTGGCGTGTTTAAAAGCAGATGACGTCGTAAACGTCAAACAGTACAAAGTATTGTCACTTCGAAAGCATTTTTACTGTGACGTCGCTTTAGACGTCGCTTTAGACTCCGCCAACCCTAGGCGTTTTCGGTCACGTGACAATAGATCAAAAAGTACTTTTAGATTTCATGATTTTTAATACTATTATCAACTACTATTTTTTGTCAGAATAGTGAAATCACTCCCAATATTCATGTTGAATACACATTATTTTTCATACTGTCAAATAGCCTATTGAGTGTTAACTAGATAAGGAACTGTTATCTATATAGCTGAGTATTAGCATGAAAAAAACTGGCTAATTACGTGTTGGGCCACGCATAATAGAGGGTTT